ATCAAACAATTGACAGATTAATAAGTTATCAAATGAATCCAAACAGCTACGGAAATAAACAGCTATAACGCTAACAGGCCATTGACATTTATAGATCATTCAGCTTGCCAAGAAGCTTACTCTCTATTTTCAACAGCTATTTGGCAGAGGTAGGAACATTTTATTATTTAATTTTATCACAGACTGCCATCCCACACACACACCTTTGGCCTGTAACTAAATACACAAAGATTTTACTATGGCAGCAGATTCTTTGCAGGCCACTTTATTGGATTACACCTCTACAAACTTATGAATAAACGCAGTGTGTGTTGTGGCATAGGCTACTATCAGTTCGCAGTAACCTTATCTTCCTGGCCATATTTCGCTTTTCATGATGATAAACAAAGAACAATAAGTTCATTCATCACCCTTTGTACGTTTATATCGGTCACTTTACAACAGGTGGGCTTTAAACACCACAGAAGTATTATCAAAAAGGCAATAAAGTCATAGTCATTCAAATAGTTTCCATGGAAACGGAGAAAAATACACGAAATGCATTTTTTTATGAGGCCAGGACAGGAAGTTATATGGCCTGCATGGGACATGATCACTGGTCTAGACTTGGCAGAGCTCTTATGCAACAGAGAGAGAGATAAAGATAAAGGGAGAAAGTGATAAAGATAAAGATAAAGATAAAGATAAAGAGAGAGAGTCTCCTAAGAAAGAATTTACATACTCAGTCCATAACAAACACAACATGTGCTATTAAACGAGTAAAAATACTCTGACAGAAAGGCACATACACAGGGATATAATCAATGTGGAAAAACTTTATACTAAACAATACATATTAGCATATTAGGCTACAATACATATAAAATACTCCCTGGCACTTTGTCTAGAGCACTACCAATTTAGTGTGACTAATTCTTCAAGCGAATTTCTGTCTACTTTTACAGCCGAGACAAGTCGACAAATCAACAGCATGAGGTTTGTTTTCGTTTGCGGACAGAGGAAAACCACAACACCTGAAAATAGCTTTGTTCCGCCACAGCTCTACAATTAGCATGGCCTGAGAGACACGGCCACCGGGTCCTGTTAAGTTGGGCTTCGGCTCGTTTCCTGTGAGAACCGGGCCAGAATCAACAGGCAGCGGCCAGTGGGGTCACGCGCTCACATGAGCGTAGAGTGACGGAAATAAAACCATATTGTCCGTACACAGCACGGAACATACTACATAACATAAGCACTGTTATACTTACGTTTGAGTTTCCTTTGCGGTCAAGTTCAGTTGTAAATTGTCGAGTCAAACCATGAGCAAGACGGCCAACAAACCGTGTTCAAAACGGATTAGTTGCATAGCACAGCCTACAACTGTACATGCACTGTTTTTTATTCCCTATCTAAATAAATCTACCGTATTTTTATCTTTTTATTCAAACATAATGCGTTTGAGAGTAAAACGACTTTGAAAAATTGAAAAAAAAAAAAAAAACTTCTGAAGGCGCAAAAATAAAGAAGTTGATCAAACTATTTGCTTTATTTTTCTTTGGGAATTTTGAACTCGATCACAAACGCCCACATTTTGCAGGTCTAAATCTTTTGCTTGCGAGTTGAAAAGTTTTGTTAGCGAACGAAGCGGTGTGTCAGAGGGCGGTCTCTACCATAGATATCAATAGAAGGCTGGATGTCTTACGATGGAGTCTTTATCGTCATCACCGTCGGCCATCTTGTCACAGGCAAGCTGATGTAAGATGAGTGATCAGCATTCTCGTTGAAATCTTGGAGGATTTTCAAACGGGTTGGTTTGTTACAAACGTTATTAACGTGGCTATAATTCTGGATGATTATTTATTTAAACACTTATTATTCATTAGTATGCAGTGTCATAACTACATCTCTGATGTTTATAACAAACCAAACAGTTTGAAAATAAGTAGAAAATTGAGCAAGTTATGGTTATTTAAAAAGTACATCCACCACTGAAACACGTTACGAGTGAGCGAGCTGCCTGTGACAAGATGGCCGCCAGGTGCGGACGTCAACCTCCATTGGCCAGCAGCGCGGAAGAGACATCTAGCCTTCAATGGATATCTATGGTCTCTACAAACCAGAATGGAAGGCCTTTTCTATTGTTCACCCACAGGTTAACCACGCCCACTACGTTTTCCCACTGCCGGCGAGAAGAGCGAGTGTACTTATAAGCCTAACACTATAAACATGTATTTTAGTTCCCGTCACTATAGATGGATCAGTATTCTGAACAGGAAAGAAATGAAAACTATAATTATGAAACAAACCAATTAGAGGCATTTATCATAAAAAACACGCCAAGGCTAATTAATTAAAGCGGCATATGGGAAATGCGCTAAAAAAGAAACTTTCTCTCACTTGTCTCTCTCATTCGGCACAAATCCGGATATGTGCGCTTTGTTCATGTTTTGACATTGTGTTATACAAGACGCTTCATAAGTCGCAGCAAATTTTTGATAATAATTATACAGTGCCGAAGTGATGACGTCACTCTGTAGGACAACTCGGAAGTTAGCGGCGCATGGCTTCCCTCGATCAAAAAGCTATGCATTTTCCCCGTAGACGCGTGAAAAATCGCAAAAAATAAGATGTGTAACAAAGAGTTGACCCTTACACCTTTTGTCTATCAAGATGATCTTTACAAGTTAATCCAAAATTTATACATTTTGAAGCCTATATAAAGTTTTTTTAAAAACACACGCAGACACAATAAAGTTTTATGTCATAGATCAAAACGTGAAAATATTTAGAGGCTTTGTTCATCACAGACCTTACTTCAGGCGATTTAGCAAAAACCCATTCAAAAATCCCAGACTTTAGAGCGAGGGAACCGGTAGTGCTAAAATGCTAACTCACTTCCGCGCTTCGGCCTACAGAGTGACGGCATAACTTCGGCACTCTATTCTGGGAAAATAAGAGCAGTATACCACATTGTTTGTATGTTTAATCAATTTAGTGGCGTTCAAGTTATTAAGTACGCACATAAAACAAAAAATATGTTAGGCATTGCACGTTTTATTGAGCGTTCATTAATCGCACAGAAAGTGAAAGCTCAAGTTCAAGGCACATTGCATTATGGGATACAGTATTCTACAAAGTGTGCTCCACAAATTATAGCAATGTGGACGGTCATATTCCAGATCACAAAGACAGTGAGGTTTGAATAAGAGTAAAGCATGAAGCAGATTTTTTTCACATATTTTATTACTAAAAAGTCTCTAAAGGCAGCAGTTTTAAGTGTTCACAAGTATTTCTATTTGTTCTTCGGTAGAGTGAGTAAAATGGTGTGGTAAGAAAAAAATTCACACTGGCCTTGCGTGCTAAATCCTTAAGACAAGAAACATCAGAAACATGAACACTTGAGGTCCCCTTAAAAGTTAGCTGGTGTTGAAAAGTGGCTAGTGTAACTGGAAACAGAAAAAAAAACATATATATTTTTTGGACATATCTGAAATAATCTGACAATACCACAAAGGAATAACACCGTACAATAATGTCGTACAATCACAGACACCGAGAAGCTACAGTCGCAATGCATGCCGGCCGGATCAAGTGACAATTTAGACTAAAGCGACGTGATGGATTTTTTTTTTTTTAAGATCACATTTGTAGAAATACAAGAAATCAAAGAGAACAGTTCATTAGGAAGTAAAGTGCGCTGCAGCTAAAGAGGGGAGACGAACAGTATCATTCACTTCATTAAAACATCATCAACATCACATGATTCATTTATGCTTCATAAACAGTCAGAACCGATCTGCTACGGTGTGAATATGAAAAGCACTGGACCTAGAAACTAATATGTAGGATTAATATCAAATCGAACAGCCGTTTTATAAACGATAACATCAAAAATAAGCTGAAATGTGATCCAAAAGCAATGCATTATGGGTCGTTTTTAAACTAAAATAAAAACGCTAAGGCTGACTGACAGACTTCATTTTTTTAAAGAAAAAGTGCCTAGAAAATGAAATAAAATTACACCCAGATTGAACGCTACAACCATCTGTAATTCCAGGGGTCACATGACATCCTTGCATAATATCTACATCTCATCTATATTAGAAGGAAACTATGTACAACATATACATACAAATCATATGGTCGTAGGAAACGAGATCTTTCAGTGACTTGATACTCACAGCTCATGAAACAGAGTGGTTTAAGTCCTAGTCTTTGGTGGCGTAAGTATTACATCACACGTGCCGTTTCTGTGGTCAACTTGAGAACAGAAGAAATACTTGACAGCTTTAGGGACTTAAATTAGACATGGAATGAAACGAATGTGGGTCATAAGCAGTGTTGGGTGTAACTAATTACTAAGTAATTAGTTACTGTAATTTAATTACTTTTCCCTTGAAAATGTAAAGTAAGGGATTACTCTTCATTTATCAGTAATTTAATTACAGTTACTTCTGATGTAATTGAGGTAAATACTGTGTATATAGATCAATCCGATCTCACAGCGATTCGTATGCATTTTATGAGGTGTCTAAATTGTACGACCTGTACAAATTCGTATGAATTATTGTAAAATATGTATAAAAAAAAAGTGTGAAATGTCATGAGATCAGACAGAAAGCAATAGTGGGTTTAACATCAAAATGTATTGTCTGATGTTAAAAAGTATGTTTTTATAATGTAACCTTCTCCACCTTTTAAGTTTAAGAATAATTGCAATTTTATAGTATTTATTTGAAAGAACTAAAACAGATTCATGTCTATCCTTGTATTATTCAGCTGGTTGAGATTGATATGGGATTTTGAAAGTAATTAGTAATTATAAGTAATTAAATACTTTTTAGAGAGAGTAATTAGTACAGTAATCTAATTACACTGTTGAAGAGGTAATTAGTAACTAGTAATTAATTACTTTTTTTAGAGTAACTTACCCAACACTGGTCATAAGAGAGGAGGAAATGCGAAAAGTAAATCTGTTTATAGCAAACGATGTTAAAAAAAATTCCTTTTTGAATGTGGAAATAAATCAAGTTAACTTGTTGTTTGTTTTTTAAAAAAAGAGAAGCGTATACATCTACCGATGTTTTACTACTAAATTCTCTGTTTGGCACTAATATTAAATGGAGGAGGTCATATTTTACCCAAATACATTTTTAAAATAGATCAATTTTAAATTTTGTATCGAAAGTCTGCAATTAAACACATTTTCCCCCAAAGTTCTCATTACTGTAATGCAGTAATAAATATCTATTTTACCAGACAATTTTTTGCCCATTTCATAAAAAAATAGCATAAATTAAAAACAGCAAAGCAAATACTACCATGATGTATACTTACTATACTTCTATTTTATTTAAATGATTTGAATCATTCAAAAAAAATTTTTATTTTTTTATTTCACATCACGGTAATGAGAATGAGATCATAAAACCAAAATTGTAATGATACTCATTTCTTTTTTTTTTTTTTATTGGGGTTGGGGGGATTCCTTGAGTTTCTGTGAATTCAAATGCTTATATTTAGACAAATTCATGTCTTAGATGGACCTTTTGATTTTATGGAAAGCTGAAAATATGGCTTATTTAACATCTGAAACATTTGTGTCCTTCATGTAACCTCAAAATATTGAGAGAATTTGCTCCATTCTGTTTAAAGACTAAAAACAGAATACTGGTTAATAAAATCTTGGTTTCTCTTCACGTTCGCTGCTTATTTTTTTGGAAAAAATCTTTAAAAAGACGGGCGACGTGAATAAAACGACAACTGAAATAAAAATTGAATATTATCAAATAAAAATAATGTATACAGTGTACGGTCAAAACCACAATATCTTGGACAGAATAAACCAGTATGTGAACAAACTGTTACTTAAATTTAAAAACGTTCAATCTATTTGTCTAAGTTTTCCACAATGACTTCCCAGAGTGACCACTAACTATAATTGAAACCAAAGCGAATCCTTCTGCAGAAAATGTTGTCCCAAATACAGTGTTTAAAATGAAATAGGACATTGACGCTGTGCAAATTAGCTCACAACAACAATACGCGACCAAAAACATCAATTTATCCTTCATAACGCACGTTCGGAGCGGATGCTACAGAATTCTCCACGTTTGTTAACTTCACTAGAAGCTGTCCGTCACAGTCTTTGGGTTTTCTGGACATGCTTCTTTTATTTTTTCCGCACAAATTAAAACACTTTTCCTGTTGTTTTTACTGGCTGCAATAAAACTTGTTAGTAGTTAAGACGGGATTAAAATGTGTTCGTTGTCTAGAGAATCAAGACCGGCCGAAACGTCAACGCAAAGTCTTTACATCCCATCAGATACCGTGCAGAGCTCAGAAAAAGATGACGTCCTCCTTGACGGCTTCATCATTAACAGTGTACTGGGAGGTCTGGTTGTGGGTTTTGAGTGCGGCGGGCGCGAGGCTGGACTGGGCGTCTGTATAAGCGTCTGGAGGGATGAGGGAATCTGCAGGGTGAGCAAACCAGACAACAGGCCTGTCAGCTGGGCCTAATAACTGTTTACACAGCGGGACACGGCCCGTCCTGGCTGAGCCGAGAATGTCGGGTGCGGTTGTTTGTCTTACCTGAGTGTGAATGTTGTGGTTGGTGGGGGCTGATGGGCCGGCGTGCTTTGTGCCCTCCATCCGAATCCCTCGCTGACAGCTTGACGGGCAGCATCTGCTTCATGTCAACAGAAGCTGTGAAAAAGTGAAGACGGATTTAGGAATCAGCTAATTCACTCCCAAAGAACATTGTTAGGTGGTCGCAAACTGACCCAAAACATCAACAAAAGAGACAAACTACCTTCATGCCACAATGAACTGCTCTGTTTAGCACTAATCTTAAAATGGGACTGTCAATAATTTACCCTAAATAAAAGATTATTCTATTTTTAATTATTTTTAAAGAAAATAAAGCCTATTTTAGGCTTTACCTTAAACAATTGGCTGTGTTTTACCTTAAACAATGAAACATTTCCCCCCATTCCTCATTTCCGTGATGGAAAAAAATACTAAAACAAAGGTTAGGTTGGTTGCATGTAATTATGCAAAATTTACTGTTATTACCACAGTATAAGTACAGGTAATTATGTATATCAAGAAAACTGTAAAATAAAATGTTACCAAAAACAATAAATAAAATAGAACACTCATTGCGGTGATACAAAAACAAAAATATTATTTGTTTAAACAACTATTTCCCCTTTTTATAAAAAATAAATGTACTTTTTTTTCCCTGGGAAAGCCCATTTAAATTTTGCATTAAAAATGTGCAAACAAACCCAGTTCCCCCCAAAAGTTCTCATTAACGTAATACAATAATAATAAAGAAAAATAAATAAAGTGAAATTCTCATTACTGTAATACAGTAACAAAAAACAAACTGCATTAATAAAACTAAATTATATTAAACAGAGCATAAAAGTTTAAACATTAAAGTAGTTACAATTATGTATTCAAATAATAATAAAATGATTTAAAAAAAATGTTTTTCTGTGCATTACGGTAATGAGAATAAGTGACGGTAATGACAATTTGGGAGTAAAATGTAACGAAAATGTCACCACAAAGCAAAACTTCTATAGTTCCTCTTATCCGCTTCATGCCAACAGAAGCCGTGAAACAGAAGACGGTTTAGAAATCAGTAAATTGGCCCCGAAAGGACGTCATTAGGTGGTCTGAGCAGTGTGGAACTGACCCAAACTCTCGGTGCGGTGCGAACTCTTGCCCTTCCCGCTCTTCTCCTTGCCCTTGCTGAGGGCAGCGAGTTTGGTCGGTATCTGCTGCTGGACGCTGCCCTGCTTGTGCAGCTGGTTGGTGGTGCTGATGAGATGGATGGGGACCTCAGTCTTGGCCGGCAGGGTGTTGCAGGAGCTCTCTCGGCGCGAGTGCACTTCAGGACGCTCAGGGTAGTCGGCGGGGGATGCTGAGAGAGTGGCCCGCAGGAGAGACTTTTGAGGAAGCGTCTGGTCCCCTGCTCCGCCGAACAGCTGTTCCCCGTTGAAGCTGGAGGAAACGGAAAGCTAAAACACAAAATAGAAACGCAAACGTTAGCACTACATGTGGATAGCAATTTCAGGCAAAGGGGTTAATTAACACGTTAATTCATCGGATGCATTAGTAAGAATGAGGACAAAACCAAGACATTTTTGCAAAGATAAAGAGAGCATGCACAAAAATGTCAGGTACAATCACAGAGAAACACTAGCAGGATTAAAGGGTTAGTTCACCCAAAAATTAAAATTAAGATTAAATTTGAGAGGTGGATCACTACCACATAGGCTCCAAGGGATTGAAACTTGACGGCCCAGAAAGTCATTGAAGAAAATGTTTAAATATTCCATGTGACTACAGTGGCTCAACTATAAGTTTATCAAGCGACGAGAATACTTTTTGTGCGGAAATAAAACAAAAATAACGACTTTTATTTATTTATTTATTTTTTCTTCACTCTCTCGAAGAGTTCAAGAGATTTCCACGACGCATGCGCGAGAACTGAACTGAAGTAGTTGAAGATTTGAGTTGAAGTTGAGATTGCAATTCTCGCGCAATTCACCTCTCATATTTAATCAAAAATATCTTCATTTGTTTTGAACAAATTTTTGTTTTGGTGAACTAACCCTTTAACTTGCATAAATTTGTATTTTGTACATAATGAGACGTTGAACAATGCAACTATTTACACGAATGGATTTACAAACGATGGAGTTGAACGCAACAAATTGAATTGAACGCAACAATTTACGCAAGAACGGATTCATGAATGATCTAATTGAATGATTATATGATTTATAAAAAACAATGTATCCAAAAATGGCTTTACAATGAATTTATCAAACTAATTACATGAGAATGGATTTGCTAATAACAGAAACTTCTATACAAACATAAAAAAATAATAATCGTCCAGTCCGATCAGATCTTTGTAAATTGCACAGAAAGACATTTTTTCAGAATCTGTTGCACTCAATTCAGTGGGACAACGTACATAAAGTCGATTAATGAATAAGCTGCAGAACTTCAAACAATACAGCTGAAATTGTTGAGATAAATCACTTGTCTTCAACTTTTACTTTGAATGAAAGCATCTACAACATGAATTAAGTGTAAAATAAATATTATGGAGCAAGACATTATTTAAACTAATCTTCTGAAGAGCAACGTCCACGTTTAAGTACAGGAAATACCGAGCTAATGTGCAATGTAGGAAATCCAGTACGAAGACTTTGGGATTTACAGGACGAGGCTAAATTTAAAACACATGCTGCTTTGCGTGCAGAACAAAGACGTCTGATGCGCAGTCAACACGGGCATAAAATGTAACACAAATTGAAGACAGCTCCACATGAAAGGTTGAAAGTTCAGTATGAGGTGAAGATTATTAATGGCCAACAGCCACTAACGGTTAGCGAGCGGCTCCCTTTCATCCAAAGGACGTAGTGTACAGTCTTTGGATGTTTGCCCACCTGGTGTAAACAAGACTTGCTCAAGGGCCCAACAGTGATCATGCAATTCCTGGGAAGTACCTAGAAGTAGTAAACCTTAAAAATGTGTTCAAGGAGTTCAAATAATTAACCATGACCTATCAACACACTTGGAAAAGATTGAATAATCATGTACTGTTCTGCTTAAAGGTGTGGAGAAGATGGCCAATCTTCTTCACATCTTAAGATGTGATGCAAACTAGTGCCGCCCTCCTGGATCTGTTCATCATGCTTCAGAAAGTCACAATTCCACCCTCTAATTTCCATTATTTCACCCAAAAAAGGGACAAAAACGCTGTTTAGGAGAACATCCATCTGAAACTGTCAATCATCTAGAGGTTGGAAAAGCCTGACCTTCTCCAACTTGCCCAGGGCGACATCATCTTCAACCATGCTAGTTTTCCCAAATGCTGGGATTCCAACACAGCTGCTCCATTGTTTCCAGTCCTTAAGGTGCCTTCAGTAAATATAAGGTTTCCAGAGCGTTAAAAATGTGCAAAGTTTTCGGCACAAAGACTTGACTGACATCACATAAACAATTAGGATTGGCTGCATTCCAGCGCTGGTATTAATGAAAGGGTGCTAGCAGGTAATTATATGTTGCGGTTTTCCCAACTCAAGACTTCCCTGGATACTTCAAGCAAATATTCATTTGGAGCAACTCCGGGCTGGTCGGAAGGGCTCGCTGCTGGAAACGTGGCTCTTAAATCATGGTGCTAAATACCTGTTTCTGAAGGCTTGTGTTGGGTGTTTTTACTTCACGATGAAGCATCACAAAGACAGACTCCTTGGAAACAGGAACGTGGAATATAAATCTTACAAAAGCAAAATATACTCGGCCATATTTAAGCTGCCTCCTTTGAAAAGCTGGACGTCAAATTTGAGTGAATACACAACCGGTCAAAAGTTTGGAAGAATGTTTTTGATAGAAGTCACCAACTCACCAAGGCTAAATTTAACTAATAAAAAAATAACTAAAATAACTGTTGTGTATTGGAATATATTGTAAAATGTAATTTATTCCTATGTTGCAAAGCGGTATTTTCAGCATCATTACTCCAGTCTTCAGTTTCACATGATCTTTCAGAGATCATTATAATATGATGATGATTTGCTGCTTAAGGAACATCATCATTATTATTATAATTATTATTAACAATTTATAAAACAGTTGAGCTGCTTCATATTTTAGTGGAAACTGTGATACACGACCATTCAAAAGTTTGGGGTAAAAAAGGATTTATTTATTTTTATTTTTAAAGAAAGAAATTAATACTTTTATTCTGCAGTTACTATTAATTATTATTATTATTATTATTATTAACAATTTTTAAAACAGTTGAGCTGCTTCATATTTTAGTGGAAACTGTGATACACGACAATTCAAAAGTTTGGGGTAAAAAAGGATTTTTATTTTTAAAGAAAGAAATGAATACTTTTATTCTGCAAAAATGAATAAAAGTTCATCAAAAGTGACAGTAAAGGCATTTATAATTTTACAAAAGATTCCTATTTCAAATAAATGATATTCATTTGAACTTTCTATGCAAGGAATCCTAAAAAATGACCATGATTTCCACAAAAAATATTAAGCATTGATTTCAAATTATTATTATTATTATTATTATTATTATGGCTTAATAATTTTGTGGAAATCATGATAGTTTTTTTGGGAATAGAAAGTATAGAAAGAAAGTATAGAATAGAAAGTATAGAAAGAATAGAACGTATTCTTAAAGAATTTCTATCTTTAAAAAACAAAATAATTTTTTACCCCAAACTTTTGAATAATAATAATAATAATAATGACCATTAATAAAAATTGAGTACCGATTGAGCAGCAAATAATCATATCGTTTTGATTTCTAAAGGATCATGTGACGCTAAAGACTGGAGTAATAATGCTGAAAATAAAGCTATGATCATATGAATAAATTATACTTTAAAATATATTAGAACAGAAAACAGCTTTCTTTTATTGTACTATATTATATTATACTGTTGTTACTGTATTTTGAACTAAATAAATGCAGCCCTGGTCAGCAGGAGACATTAAAAATTCCTAATTGTTTCAAACTTTTGACCTGCACTGTGTGACCGAGCGAGAGAGAGAGAGATAAGATAGATAAGTACATGAAAGACCAAAATTCGTTGTTATCTTAAGAGTTGAGCCCCGGTTTAACAAAAGGAAGTGACTAAGGCAGTAACAAAACAACAGGTCTCATCAAGGTCAAACAACCCCCAATATATCCGACATGACAGCCGACACTGAGACGGATAATAAAGCAATAAAACGGATAATAAAACTAGTCCGGGAAACAGTTGAAACTTCAAACAAAGACGAACGACACAATTAGGAAACCATAAAATCGTACTGAAACCGTACCAAATGTTTTTGTCCATGTGCTTAATCTGATTCATTCTAATGTTTTTAGGTCATAACAAATTGCTCATATGAAACTAGAACAATCTCAACAAACCTGATAAATCTCTACTATACAGTATGTCATATGTTTAAACAAGGTCTGAAGCCTGGCACCATGGACAGACGGTTACTATGGACTCAACCTGAGATAAGCCGAGATCACAGGAAATCTGACAAGGCCCGGCATGACCGGACATGCCTGCATGACCTCAAAATCATACAATGAAGAGCAGAGTTGCAACTTACTGTCAGGGGGGCTGATTCTGATGCCATTCACTTCCATGGTAAGAAAAAAAAAAATTACTATGGAAGTCAATGGCTACCAACATTCTTCAAAATGTCTTTTGTGTTCAACAAAAGAAAGAAACTCATACAGGTTTGAAACAACGTAAGAGTGAGTACATGAAGACTTCGGGTGAACTAACCCTTTAAGAAACCGCACACAACATGACTGAAAGGAAATAATAAACGGCTTCCTAAACACAGACGAGTCAACAAGTCGATGACTTGTTGATTTGGAAAATCTGCTTTTCTTCTCCACTGATTCACGCTCATCTGTAACCCAGCGGTGCAAACACACGCCCGGCTGTGGCCGTTTGATTTCGGACCGTAAACTTGAATGCGCATTCCTCCTTAATGCTGTAAAATGACTAACACTGATGTAATTGATCCTGGCTGGATTGCATTTCGTTTGGTCACATTTCGCTAACGTCACAGCGTAACGGCCCATTAGGAAAGAGCCCCGTTTCTGGAGGTCCCACAGCCACGTCTAAACGGAGGCTGAAAGACGGCGTTCATTTCTGAGGAATCTGTCAAAATGAAAGAGGCTAGTCATCAAGTGTACACACGCAACCGGACAGACAGGCTATGTCGCTCATATCAGACGAAGAATTCCTGAGTTTGACCACAAACAGATGGAGTTAGTCAAAATGGTTTCAGTACTGAGACCTGGAAATCGCACAATATGTGGCTTTTGTTCTACGGTGTTTACAGAGGCTTTTTGTGAGCCGGATAACACTGTTCAAACAACGCTTGTGAACGAGTGACTGCTTTTTTCCCCAGAGAGCTTCTTGGGTAATCTCGCAGGCTCATCAGCAAACAGGTAGGGCAGGGTGGCAGGTCGATCAGCAAAGCCACAGCTATGAAACCACACAGTGCCACATTGTTCCCATAGATTGTCCTGTACGGAGAAGCTGAAAGGAGACCGTGGGAACGGTAGATGCTCTCAGATGGCACACCTACACTTTGTTTTTATAATAACGTGTGGCACTGAAAGAGAGCGGAGAGGTGACATCATGCTAAATTCATGTTTAATGCCAGCTCCCATTTGCCTGAATAGCTGGGCGATGCATCAAATATTCATGACAGATTCGAGTTAGACTTCAACGTTGCTCAGTTTGAGCAATTGTTTCATTAGGTATTGCTAAAAAAAATAATATTAGTGTGTATTGTTATATTGGTACATAAAAACATTACATTTATTTTTTTATTTTAAAAAATGGGTTGAGTTTATTGTTTTATAACAACAATGGCTGTTTGTTTGAATCGACGGTGATCATTTCTGACTAAAGAAATAATTCAAGACATCATTAGAGATAACTAGTTAAAAAAAACACTTAAGCAGTTCAAAAGTATGAGGCCAGTAAGATTTATTTTCAAGAAATAATACTTTTATCCAGCATTACATTTATCAAAAGTAAATTAAAATAAATGTAAAAAGGGTACCCACACCTTGGTTAACTTCAAATTCAAGGACCATTCAAGGACTTTCCAGGTCCAACACCCACAAATTCAAGGGTTAATGTGGGGAAAACATAGTGTAGATCAAATAAATTATAGGATATTCCAAATATCTTGAAACTTGCATTTTCCAGGCATCAAGTTTCAGTGGTTTCAGCCTATTTTTGCTGTTTCATGGCGTGTTGTGAAACGTTGAGGTACCATCGTAGTCGTTTTGTGCGAGCGTGAACGTCATGGCAACGTATAACAAAGTTCCTCACGCGGGAAACACTTAATGCAACACGTAAATGTGAGTAACAGACGTAAATCAAGCAAGCTAATATTCAAGCGTCCTGAAGTGTTGGCGAAATAACACATTAGCGGACCGGAAGGTTTTTTTTTTCTCCAGAAAAGAACTTTTTAAGCACTTTCAAGGACCTGTATCTATTTTTAAAAACTTTCCAAGGCCTTGAATTTTGTTTTTCAGATTCACAAACTTTCAATGATTTCAAGGACCCGTGGGAGCCCTTGTAAATTTTCCCATTTCATATAAATGCTGCTCCTTTTCAACGTTTTGTTCATCAAAGAAATCACGGTCTCCACAAAAATAACCATTGATCAAATAAAGCCAGGTGAGATTAAGAGACTAAAACATTACAGACCCCAAACTTCTGAAGAGTACGCCTAGATATACAAATAAACCTGGGTCCAAACTTTCTGGAAACACGGACAACAAAGATTTCAAAACAAAATATTGGACCATGATGCTAAACATAAAACCAATTGTTTGGATGCTTAAGGGGTGAACGTTTTTGGAGAGTGCCAAGTTTTATTTTTAGCCTGAATATGTTGCGTGTAATCTTACATTTTTGTGTCAACTAGTCGAACTGGTATGATCATAAGGAAGTATTTAGAAACCTGTCTAAAGTAATGTGGCCATCCAAGAGAACCAAGACAGACAGAAAGTATGGAAACACCTCGAGTCAGGTGGCATCTCACCTGTCCAACGTCCTGTGCGTAAAGAGCCGCAGTATTCGGCACCGTGTTGTGCTTCTTCAGCTTCCTCTGTAGCTCCAGCCGTTCTCTCTCTCTTTCAACCGCACGTGTGGACTCTCTCAGCCTCTCCAGGTCTTGCTGGTACGTCTGTCTTTGCCTCTCCAGTTCTTGCCTGTCCTCGGCCAAACGCGCCTCCAGCCGGCGACACTCGTCCTCCTTCTCCTTGAGCCGCTGCTGGTCTGCCTCCGCCTGCCGCCGCTGCTTCTCCCGCTCCCGTTCCCAGCGCGCTTGCTCCTGCCGATGCTGGCTCTGCAGCCGCTGGAAGTTGGCGAGCTCCTCGCGGTGCTTCTCCAGGTTCCGCTGCTTCTCCTGCTCCAGGAGCACGTCGGTGCCCCGGTTCCGGCTGCCGGGACGGTCCCGCTCGGCCGTGAGGAAAGAGGCCCGCTGGAGCTCGATGAGGCTGTCCTGCTGAGAAACGATGGCCTGAGGGGGGAAGGAGACAGACAAGACTTGATGTTTGGATAGTTGTTGAGAGCTTCTCGGTAACTAAGGCTTAGTTAAGCAAGCGGTGTGTTCTCTCAGCTGCCTGTCCTTGTATTTGCTCAAACATGATTTGTGCACTTTGGAAGGCGCTTTGATTAGAAAGTGTCTGGTAAGAATGTAAATTAAATGCAATGAAAAAGGAATGAAAGAAAAACAGCAATTAAAGGGACAACTGAATTAAAAAAATACCCTTACTCATTAAGATAATATCGGATTTTCTCCAGTCATTGTTAAAAAACAAGCTAACAATCCTTGCTAACTAGCGTTAGTGAAGCGGCCAAATGGATCTTTCTGCCTCCACCTAAGCTCCGCCCACTAAAAAACGTCACCATGTTTACCAACTGTAAACGGGTCTATAGAAGCATGAAAAAAAAGAAACAAACAAAACCAAAAGAATCAAAGAAAAGAACGAAATTTAAAGAAAATACAAAAAATTAACTAAAGAGCAAGAAAGAACGGACTGTCATAAGAACACTCAAAAAAAAACTGAACAAACAAAAAGAGTAAAAATAAACAAATCAAATCAGACACTCAAAAAAATAATAATAATAACAAGAGCGACAAACGAAAAGAAATGAAAGACAAGATAGAAAATGAAAAGAAAGAAAGAACAAACTAAATAATGAACAAAAGGCTAGAAACAACTGACTGTCATAAAAACAAACAATTGAAAGAACCAATAAAATAAAGAAAAAAAACAAATACAAAAAGAGCAAACAAATTACCAAATGAGTAGGGTTGGGTATCGAGTATCGATTGGAATCGGGACTAACTTTTCGTTTTTCCCGGAATCGTTCAAAAGTTAAAATTTCGATTCCTAGTTTCGATATTCACAGTCCGCCGAGCGGAAGAAGAAACCGCTGAACAACACCAACGAAGAAGCGTCTACCGAAAGTGTTGGCATAACCGCACGAGTCGAACATGAGTAGCTTACGTCAGCGATCCAAAGTGTGGCTTCACTTTTCTAAAAATAACGAAATCTCGGCAAAATGCAAAATTTGTGACAAAAGGAGTATTTGTGACAGAAGGAGTATTTCCTTCAGAAAGGATTATTTCCTTCCGAAAGACCGTTGGTTAGCAAGGTTAGCTAAACTTTTTTGACCCTGCCTCTTAAAAGAATCAGAATCGAGAATCGTTAGGAACCGGAATCGAAACAAGGAATCGGAATCGTTCAAATTCAAACGATACCCAACCCTACAAATGAGTAACAGAAAAAAAAAGAAAATCCAGATCAAACTAAACAAACAAAAGCAAAAATCAAAACACAAAAAAAATAAAAGAAAGAAAACAGCATAAATGAAAGAGAAAGACAATACAATAATAAAAAAAGAGAAGGAGACAAACAACAAACAAAAGAAAGTCAAACGAATGATAGTTTGAATGACTATTGTTTGTGTGTATACATATAAAACTAAACAAAATTAAAAGGAGAAATAAACAAACAAAACGACAAATTAAAAGACAGAAAATGGAAATCAAAAGAACAGAAAGAACAAAGAATAAACAAAACAAAACAAATGATTTAAATGAACAAATCTGCAAATGAATGAACAAACAAACGAAAGAACAAAAGAGCAAACTAAATAAACAAATGAGCAAATGGAAATCAAAATAACACAGAAAAAATAAAGAATCAACAAATCAAAACAAATAATTTGAATGAACAAATGAATGAACGAACCAACAAAATAAACAAATGAAAAATAAAAATAAAAGAACATACAAATGAAAGACAGGCAGCTGTTTAGCTTTATTTATTTAATATTATATAATATGAATAATGTTGTGAATCTCATCTGAACAGCCCACAAATAAATGTGGCCACAGCATGACAAAGATTGTATCTGTCACGATTAGAGTATGCGTTGGTCTGCCGTTCTGAGAGAGACATCAGTGTGTTGTACCTGTAAACTGTAGAGCCTCTGGGACAGCAGCAGCACTCGCTCATAGAACTGGTAAAACAGGAAAACAAGGGCAACATGATTCAATAATCAGAGACATTATTCTCATGAGACACAATGTCACGTTTCTGCCAAGTGAAGTATCGCTGCATTAACTGTCGATTAGGTGCGGTGAACGCAAAGGTTACCATCTCAGATATGTACTGGGAGGTGTGTGAGAAACGATACGTGCCTTTTATCTCATGGGAAACAAAGGGAGACACAATCTTCTCAATTACACATTGATTTGTGCTCTCACCTCGGATTCTGGAAATTTACAGCTGGACCACATTTTGTGGCAGCCGGGTGAGGAGGCCTCGTCCTGAGAGAGACGACAGATTAAAATGAAGGAATTATATCATGTATATCAACAGTTGCAGAAAAAATCCACCAAATGAAGATAATTCAAAGATATTATCATGTTAGAAAAATAATGTATTACTTTATTATAGTAATAATAGTTAACTGAAATAACATTAATTGTCACATATTTACTGAACCTTGGATTTTTTTTTTAAGAATCCACTATAACACATTAAACTGCCAACATAAAAAATAGTGATAAAAACTTTCAAATATCATAAAATATATATGCACAAATTACCATGTAATTTATTTAATTATATTGTATATTCAACATTTTTTTATAAACATACAACATATATTTATAATACATATTTTCAATGTGTGTGTGTGTGTGTGTTAAAATGTACACATTACTTTAGAATTTATTTATGTGTAAAATCCTTTGACTTATATTAAATTGTATATGCATAGATAAGCAATACACATCACTAATATATATATATATATATATATATATATATATATATAATTATTATAATAATTTAACATCTATATTCATATATATCATATAATTTGATTTAATCATCAAATCTATAGCTTGACACTTTATATATTGACATCTTGACTGGTGGGAAAGTTTTGTCCAAATTCCTGCCCAAATCATATGATGTCACTCTCCTGGTTTAGTAAACACGGGCATGTTCCTGTCAAACGGCTGCATGCTGGTTCTCTCACCGGCTCATCCTGGTCCTGACACGTGTAGACCTCTTTGAGCAGTGGATCCGAGCTGGCCCTCTGACTCCTGTCCCTGGACCTGCCGGACACTCCGGGAACCTTCTTAATACTGCTGTCTGATTCAACACACAAATACAGCCCTTTACACACTTACATTGGGACGGTACATACTAAAATTGCATATTAACGCCACAAACATGTCAGTGACGGAGATTGTGGATAATTAGGCCTCAAAAGATTGCATGCACACATATTTGAAGAGCATCCGGGAACATTTCAAGCACTATTTTCAATAGATTATGATGCGAGACATCTTACCAACAGCATTGAACAGATATTTTATGAATTAGGATGCAAAGCCTTTCAAATACGCAATGAATATAGCGATCAAACAACAATAATGAGTCTTCAGTTAATCCCCAATTATGCAACATGTATAATCAATGTCTAATCATATGTAATGACGCTTACTCTTAGGAAGTATGGTAGCGACACTGTCGTATCCGCCGAATGTGTCAGCTCTGCGGGGCAGCAAACTCAAGGACGGACTCTGGTACCCCTCAGTCTGGGGAGAAGTGTCCCGAGCTCCAGATGTCAGGAGGTTCTGAAGGTTCTCCACTACAGAAAGACAAGAGATGCGCTTCACTAACTACATTTAACTACATTAAGGCAGAGCTAAATACATTTAATAAGTGATTGAGTTATTATTATTATTATTCAGGCCCTGATCCTGTGTGAGCTACCTTCAGTAATGGCTCCTTTGAGCAGCTGCTCCCCCTGCTGGAGGTCGGAGGCGTCACCCCGCAGAAGCAGACGGGAGCGAGAGCTGGCGTCTTCTAGACCGGCCACAGATTCAGCCAGCTCTGCAAACAACTGCAGCTTCTCTGTGAGGCTCTGGGCGATCAGAGCGTCCTTTAATGTCAGGCGATCTACAGAAAATGAGAATAAAATATGTTAAAAAAAACTTTACAAATCTTTAAAGCAATGTCATTACAGTCAGTTTTATGTACACTCACACACACAGATAATAATATATAAACATACTTCTACTATTCTCTTATTTTTTGAGAAAAGAATCAGGATTTGCAAGATTTCAATAGGACAATGCAAGTGCGCCCTCTAGTGACAAGATCCTACAAAGCTGTTAAAAAGCCATCACACAACATCAAAATGAGCAAAAAAATAAATAAATGTCATGATTTACGAAACAAACATAGCCCATGTGGCATTTACCTTGAAACTCTCTGAACCGGGTGACTCTGGCTTCCTCTTCCTCACAAAACAATCTCTCTTCAGTATGTGGACAGCTGATAGACAGGAACCAAGGAAGAACGTTTAAAAAATATGATGATAGAAGTAAATACTGACACTAATGTGGTGATAGACGGGCACAGACCTCTCAACGGCCTGACGGATGTGGGTGATCCACGCGTTGCGGTCTTCTTTCGAGGCCGTGTGGATTTCGTACATCTCGGGTTCGTTCGAGGAGGCACAGATGAGGAACATGGCCCGCTCCTCGTGAGCCACCTCTCGCACGATCAACTTCTGCAGCGAAATAACTGATGGCTTGTTGTCCTAGCAGAAAAACAACACAGATGAGTGGATTAAGATGAACAATTTCACATCCTGTACGAACCAAAAACAAAGTGGAAATCGTACTCACCACCGTTGAGAACACATATCTCTGATCCTTTTCTTGCAACAAGACGAGAACATCGGTGAGAAGTACAGCTAGAATATCTGCAACGGAGGCAAAGAAGAATCTCAAATGTCAAATATGACCAACCAGGCTTATATATGCAGTTGCGTTCCCACCATGAAACTTTGCGTTCGCTTGGAAAATGTTTGAGTTCTCTTGCGTTCCCTCAAGAACATTTGCGTTTACTGACGAAACGTTTGCGCTGACTCTAGGAAAAAGTATTGCGTTCCCTGGAGAAACTTGCTACTCTCTCACAAATTGTTTGCGTTCTCTCACAAAACGATTGTGTTCCCTCAAGAAAGAGAGAAATAATATGAGGTGGGAGGAAAAACCATCATAAGATTTGTGAGCAACCGCTAAGTTTCTCAAAGAGAAAATTTCCCATCTTATTTTTTTACAAGCACCCATGGCTTTGTACCCATGTATGTGAATTATCATTCTCATAATACCTTTGAGGCGACCAGATGCGGCTTTCCAGTTTACCAAGCCCTCGTACAAGAGCTTGCGGCGGCCCTGAGAAAGGTCCTCCTTACGAAAGACACGTCCATCTTTGATTTTCCCGTGGGACTTGGGCTCCATCTTGGAAGCGATTTCTCTTAGCCGTGCTTCCTTCTCGTAGAGATTGACATGGCCGTCCACCTGAGCTATGGTGTCTTTGATTAGACCGAGAGCTTGTGCTAATCCTTCATGTTCCTCTGTCCCGGCTGGAGTGAGAAGAAAGTGTTTATAACCTTGCCCATTCATAATGTTTCATAATATATATATATATACACAGCACAGGATAACCAACCTTCTGTGTTTTGCAGGATGCGCTCCACAAGAACAGGATACTTGGTGATTCGTTGTGTCACCAGCAAGATACACTCTTGAACACCTAACCGCCGCACTATTGATAGATTACTTATTTTCTGAAAAACATTACGGTGAGAAAATTATTCAAAGCAGTGTTGAAGACAAACTAGCAAATGTTAGCAACATTGAGACATATAAGATCTCAACACACCCTCATGAGGTTCTGGAACTTCTTGTTGCTGTGCAGCTGCTCTTTGTAGTAGTTGACAGCTTCAGTGTGCCGACTGCAGAAATCCCCATAACTTTCCTTCATTCGCTCTCCAAGCTCTCCAGAAAACTAAAACCAGATGCACACAAAATCACTTCCTGCTTGACACTTCTTTTCCAATGTTTTTACACCTCCTGTTGTCACACTTCCTGTCCAACACTTTCACACTTGTGACAACAGCATGTGTGAAGCAGGAAGTGTAGGGCAGGAAGTATAGGGCAGGAAGAATAGGGTAGGAAGTATAGGGCAGGAAGAATAGGGCAGGAAGTACAGGGCAGGAAGAATAGGGCAGGAAGTATAGGGCAGGAAGAATAGGGCAGGAAGAATAGGGCAGGAAGTATAGGGCAGGAAGTACAGGGCAGGAAGAATAGGGCAGGAACTATAGGGCAGGAAGAATAGGGTAGGAAGAATAGGGCAGGTAGTATAGGGCAGGAAGAATAGGGCAGGAAGTATAGGGCAGGAAGAATAGGGCAGGAAGAATAGGGCAGGAAGTATAGGGCAGGAAGAATAGGGCAGGAAGAATAGGGCAGGAAGTATAGGGCAGGAAGTATAGGGCAGGAAGAATAGGGCAGGAAGTATAGGGCAGGTAGTATAGGGCAGGAAGAATAGGGCAGGAAGTATAGGGCAGGAAGAATAGGGCAGGAAGTATAGGGCAGGTAGTATAGGGTAGGAAGAATAGGGCAGGAAGTAAAGGGCAGGAAGTATAGGGCAGGAAGAATAGGGCAAGAAGTATAGGGCAGGAAGTATAGGGCAGGAAGAATAGGGCAAGAAGTATAGGGCAGGAAGTATAGGGCAGGAAGAATAGGGCAGGAAGTAAAGGGCAGGAAGTATAGGGCAGGAAGAATAGGGCAGGAAGTATAGGGCAGGAAGTTTAGGGCAGGAAGTTTAGGTCAGGAAGAATAGGGCAAGAAGTATAGGGCAGGAAGTATAGGGCAGGAAGTTTAGGTCAGGAAGAATAGGGCAAGAAGTATAGGGCAGGAAGAACAGGGCAGGAAGAGTAAACAGGAAAGGCGACAAGAGATTGTATGAAGCAGGAAGCAAAAGCACAAAAGTGTAACAACAGTATATGAAACAGCAAGTGTAAGGCAGGAGATATTACAGGATATTTGAAAAAGCGAAATAAATGAAAAATGAAGCGGGAAGTGTAGGGTAGGAAGTGTAAGATTAGAAAAATGAAGCTGAAAATGTAGGAAGGAGTGAAGCAGGAAGTAAGACAAAAACAGGAAGACTGGGGCAAAAGTGTGAAAACAAGATATGGCAACCTGGAAAAGTCAGGAAACGTAAAATGTTGGTCTTTACAGCAGCAGTAATTGTGGAAATAAGCGTGGGGTGAGAGCGTGATAACAGGATGTGTAAGCAAGGAGCTTGACATCTCCTGGTCTACATTTCCTAAACAGCAGGAAGGAAGTGTGGGGCAAAAGTGTGAAAACAAGTGTGAGAGCATGACAACATGATGTGTAAGCAAAAGAAGTGCATAAAACATCCTATTCTTGTAAAAGGAAATGTAACGAGGATGTTTGAAGTAGGAAAGGCGAAGGAAAATGTAAGCCAGGAAGTGTGAAGCAGGAAATATGACAACAGCAGGAAGTGTGACGTGTAACAACAGGATGTGTGAAGCAGGAAGCAAAATACAGGAAATGTGATGAGCGAAGTTTAAGTTTAAGTTGCAAGAGGAGGATGAAAAGAAGTAGGAAATGTTGGGCTTTACAACAGCAGAAAGTGTGGGGTGAACATGTGAAAACAGGATGCGGGAAGCAGGAAGCAAAAGACAGGACATGTAAAACTGGAAGCATAGGGAAAAAGGGTGACAACAGAATAATAAAGCAGGGAACACAGAGAAGAAGGAAGTAACGCCACTAAATTTAGAGAATGTACCTGGGATATAAGAATATCTGCAAGTTTATGGATGGCATAGTTGTGCTCGCTGCCCGGCTGCACAGACTCTGCGCGCCGCTCCCTGAGACGGGACAGGAAGTGGCTGTGCAGCTCCAGCAGACTGTCCAGCTGAGGAAACAGACAGTCCAGCTTCCTGTCGTCCAGCTGCAACGTCTCCCGCAGCTCTCGAGCATAAACACGGAGCATGATCTTGAGCGTACGCACGTGGTGGATCTCCGTCTGGATGAGCTCTGGAGGAGACATGAAAGGCTTTAAAGAAGATCTGGACACACTTTTGACAAGTTCCCAGAGCAGTGTGGGTAGGTAAATAACACTGACCATATATAACATCCTGTCTCTTCATCATCTCCTTCGAATATTTCTTTAAGAAGTGCTGATCCACAGCCAGACTCCAGGACTCCACCTCGAAGTCTTGCGCAATGGCTTCCAGCTCCCCTCGCACTGTGGTGTAATACGCATCTGCACACAAACAAATCAACATTCATATTACAAAGTGTTGCTCAATGCTCTACAAAACCCCCGTCGTAAATTACACAAGTGACACTTCATCTCATGTTCTGGGTGTTCTCAGTGTTATTGGGCTTTTAAAATCAGCCCCTCACCTTCAACGATGAGCGAATCGGGTACAGTGGAGGCGAGAGATAGAGTGTCGTCAGCGGGGCGCTTCAGCCTGAACCCGTCAACCTCGTCCATCTCTCCTGCGATAAAGCTGCCAGAAAACATGACTATGCAAACGCTGCAGTGATTATGAAAGCACGTTGTTCATTTGCATTGATACATTCGCATCACATTTCTAATCAACCTAAATGCAACATGAATATAAACAATAATATTAACAAGATGAAGCCAGTCTGTGCTTAAGGTGCCTTTCTCATAAATCGTTTTTTTTTTGATGATAAAGTAATTATCTTCCTTTCTAAAGTAATTAATGTTGGTGAAGTAATGAGAATGTATGACTGCAGACACACAGGACTCACCCGCTGCTGCTGTTGTGGCTGACTGTAGGGTTGCTGGAGGCGGCAGGTTGGGCACTGTGTCCTTTGGGTGGAATGGTCATACCTGTAACACAGCGCGACGTTCGGGACGAGCCATTGATGGGAGTGAGGGCAGAGCTGGGGTCCCGCAGAGCTGCAGAGAAACGAGACGGGTCAGTGCGGTAGCAGTGCCTCAAAACCGAGCGAGGCATGGAGTCGAGGAAACGGCAGGTGAGGAAGTCTCGATGGAGGAGTACTCGAACCCCGAGCCTGCGCGACAGACCCGAGGACGGCGGGAGTCGTGAACCGCTCTTCCTCTGAGAAGCTCGGACTCTGGGTAAAGCCAGTGCCATGATGTCCGACTAACTGAGACCTCACTAACTGAGAGGACGGTTGGTCTTATAAAGAGGAGAGTGTGTTCTAGAAATCACACATGCACCTTCCCCTCCTCGCCTCCCTCCCATCGCTCCCCTGTTGAGACGGAGGGAGTTTTAATGAAACAGCTGAGAGTCTAAGTCTCGCAATCAGATTAGTGTGAGCAAGTAAACCATCAAGCTCAATTACCATCTCCAGGGAGAACCTGACAGATAATACATGAAAATAATAATAATAATAATAAATTATTATAGAACACGTTTTAATTTATATTTTTTTTAAAAATCCTAAAATCGTTGCATGTCTTTTTTATTAATAATAAATCATAATTGTATTTTTATTTCATTAATAAATATTATTCTGTTCTATGCAGCAAATTAAGCAAATACTACATTACCTTACAAAATATAAAAATTTGAAACAAATGCAGCATTTATATTACATAAAATTACAATAATAATAATATATTCTTAATATCTATTATTATTTTTAATAAAAAAAATGTTTATAAATATATTTATATTATTAATAAATATGCATGAATTAAACTTTATTAGCTTATGCAGGATTTTTTTTTTTTTTTTAAATATACAAATATGAAATCGCAGCTTAAAAAGTTTTTGGTGGCCGAAATTTCAGTGCTTCCCTAGTTAATTTAACAGGCTACTGGTCCAGTTGGGCTATTCTCTGTCAATTGTGTTTCCAAAAAATCTTGGACAAGCTCTATAAAATAATTGTAGAATTTAATGTGGTATTATTCAAAATTCCAAAATAAATTCACTCTTTAGTATCCCATTCAGATGAAACAAGCATTTAGTACATTTATTAATTACATTTGCTACATAATTAAAGGGGTACTTCACCTCTGGAAAGATAAATGTGCATTTAAATTGGGTCATTTATGTAGAAGAAATATTAATTTTTTTTTTAATTTTGAGCTTTCTAGACTGAGAAAAGCCAGAAAATGTATTTTTGGCGTATTTGGAAAGACAACTCCCAGAATGCACTTGCTTCACGGCCCTAGGAGGCCACACCTACCGGTAACAGATCGCAATAGTTAAACAACAAGTCTAGGCTACTAGTGAGTCTCCGTGATGAGTCTGCCTGAAAATGTGTTTCGAGATCGCCCAAAATGTCCGGAATTTGGCTTTTGCGTTCTACACTCGCCATTCATTATGTTGTAGTGAGCGGGACGAGGCAAGGTAGCGCGATTACTGTTGAGCGACACCTTTGAGACGCACCGGTCTCGTACCTCTCACGGAGGAGCAGGAATTTTCTTAGCAATATTAAAACGCACATCAACCGTTCATGTAAACACTACATTCAGATTCACCAATCGGAATGAATTCAGTTCGATTGAAACAAAAGCTGTGCATGTAAACAATGAATGGCGACCGAATCCCGGACATTTTGTACGATCTCGACGGACGGACATGTCCAGGAAAAAGAGGATGGTAACCCCTACTACTCAGCTTTCTCCACAGAACAAGAGCCTGATAGCTTAGCTTCCAAAAAAGATGGCTGACACTCAGTATCCATTCTGTGAGTGAGATCGCCCTCTATGGGCGGGTTGAGAACATGCGGGACAGACCAGTAGCCTTTTAGCCTGTTTATTTTTTCCAGACAAAAAAACACATAAATCTCTCGTCTCAGGGGGATATGAGGGTGGAAAGCACGGTAATTCGAAAATACTACAGGTTTTCTACTAATACAATGCTTAAAACTAAATCCTGAAGTATCCCTTTAAATAAATATGTATTGGTCTCCATCTAATTATTAAATGGACGTTCTGACAATCTCATCAGATAGATTAACAATGCAGCTATAAATGTGGGAAATCACCAATATTCCCCTTTATGCATTTACAATACGATGTTCTTCCAGAAGTCTCGGAGTGAAAGAGGACATTTCCAGATGTTTTCCCCTGGCAAGTGAAGCATTACAGGCTTCATCCGCACTTCTTAAAGCAATTCCCACCTCGGCCTCGGTCACAGCGGGAGGTGTTTAACGAGATGTCCAGAGCTCAGGAATAATAACCACACTGGCAAACTGAACATCTCCTGTCTGAACAGAAGGATCCTCTGGTGTGATTTCATGACAAAATCTTACATAACAAGAGGTAAAGAGTGGCTAGGCAGGAGGAAGCCACTAACAACGTACATTAAAAGCTATTCTACTAGATTTGACTTTCTTTCTCAATCAGTTTGATCACTGCCTGGGTTCTCCCAAGGTTTTTTTCTCCATCCAATCTGATGGAGTTTTGTTCCTTGCCACTGTCGCCTTGCTTTTGGCTTGCTCAGTTGGGCTTGCTCAGTTGGTGTACTACTTTCATGTTATCACTGTGAAGCTGCTTTGATACAATCTGTATTGTGAAAAGCGCTATATAAATAAATGTGACTTGACTTGACTGCCTGAATGAGTTGCGTTAACCAATCAGCATCCAGGAATGCAGAATCCTGCAACTGTCCAAAACTGTGTCCAACCTACAGCACAAACAGTAAGTCCTGATCAGATTTGTGCGGTAATTAATCGTAGGACCGTGATTAACCTCTTAAGTGCTTCTCTTGTGGTGGCAAATGCAGGAAAAAAACAGCCAGATGACCTTAATTTGCTATCAGGGGAATCAGCATGTGCCGGCCCCAGTGACCATTAAACAGACCATCACACACACACACACACGAGAGGATAGCAAAACAAGCTCCTCGTGCAGCAGCACGAGTGAACTAAACCAAGCAGATTACAAGTGGGAAACGCTTATTTACCAGACACTTCTTGCAGCAAATAATGAGATTTATTACATCACTAAAATAAAAAACTAAATGAAAAATTTGACTTAATTCTGAAGTTAAAAATGTTGCCTTTGCAACTAACTGGTATAAGTAACTGGTCAAATTCTCCCATTCATCACAATCTTATAGATTTATTGGTGATATTTAAAGTATATTTCTAGTTTTTGTGCAGAAAAAAACCCTTAAAATATCGCTAACTTAATTTTAGGGTAGTTTGACTACCTTCAACGTAAGATGTTTGGTTAAAAATGCAAGTGAATTTCAAAATTGACTTCAAAATTGTTTCAAAGTAGCGACACACCATTGGTTAAGCGATGTGATCAAATCACTGATCCAAGTATAATGCTAAAACCATGGTAATTAGTCTGAAAATGTGCTTACCTTGACTATACGACTGAGCTGCGGCGTTTGGCGACTTTTGCACCGACTCTTTTGTCTGCATAGAGCAAAAACACAGACAAAAACATAGTGACCGGCTTAGTTTATCATTTACAACAACCCGCGCAATGACAACCTGCCACTCCTTTGACCAAAGATAAAGCCTTTTATTGTTTTTAAGAAGCTAAATTCGATCCAAACTAATACAAAGTGAAGTTTATTCCTTTTTGTTCAATATTTCATGTGAATGTATAAACGTGCATGTATCTTACCTTGCTTTTACTGCTACACTCGGGCAGCAGGTTCTTGCAGCTCTTGTGGACGTTCACGGCGCAGTCTGTCGGCCCGAACAGAGGCGGTGGCAGAGAGAGAAACAGGTTAACACTTTCCTTATCAGAACCAACATGTAGGTTGTCCCGTAAACTGAAATTACACGGAAAGGGAGGGCTCGAAGAACTGGGGCGGATAGTAACACTATGAGACCGTTATGTTTCGCAATATTGCTTTCATTTGGGAAGAACAATAATGCACTAAGAAATCTGGTTGATATTTAAAAGCACAATCAGATTATCAGATATGAATGGGTTTTGTTTTTCGCTGTGAAAAACTATCAGCACAGGTTTATTGGGGGTAAAGAGCTTTCAGGAGTGCTCATTATCCATTCACAAAGTCTCTATCCTGTCCCTGCGGGCCATTTTCCACTTTTCACCCCACAAAGTGACTGATTCAATCCATTTAGCCACAAACCTAATTAGAAAGACAACAAAGTGAGTGTCTGATCAATGCCACAATCACAGGGCATTACGGCAGAAAACACTGACATCTGATGAACTTATACAGCATATAATAAATCTAAATTTGTGGCTTCTAGTTCATTTCTATTGACTTTGAGGACGCTAAGGTGGGTTTACATTAGAGGTCCACTTGGATCCAAAAACCCAGCGTCTGAACCGAGAGGGTTGAGGTCCAAAACTTTGACTAGGGCCTCAGACACGGGTTGGATCTGATATTAGCAGCATCAGGTCTTGGAAAATTAAAAACAAGCGTGTTTTTACCGAACAGACCTGAAAAGAATTATTTTAAAATGTGCCAAATTTCCACTATGCGTTTCAGGTGTTTAACAGGTATTATTTTAAACAAATAAATATTAAATAATTATGACAACGAGGTTATTATCCCCCTTTTTCTCTGTCAATACATACTTTCAGGGCTCCAGACTAACATTTGAGAGCAGAAGCACCGGTGCCACTATTTGGTAGCGCTGGGGATGTTTTTTAATAACGAAGAAATTACTAAATTACTTTAATTCAAGAAATTACTATTGTTTTGCCTTAATAAAATGCAGTTACTAATAATATTACATGTTTGTTTATTGGAAATTTGACAGTAAAGCATTGAGCTTGATGTGAGATACAGATAAAATTAACTTTTAATACCAACAGCAACATGCACAAGCCTCATTTTATAGGCAATTTTTTTAAATATTGTACTCTTATCAACCCTAAAACCGTATTCTGGACAAATCTGGGCAAAATAGTTTTGATTTATTTTTAAAAATTACGAGAGGTACAAGACTTGGCTATTTTTCCTAAGTTTGCCTCCTGAACACATACACATTTTTTTGACTCAATTCTACAATGTTAAGTGGGCGAGAAAAAAAAACTCCTTAATCTTGTATTTGGGTCAAAAATGGGCACCAATAAAAATAAATGGGAAAAACTGTAATTTAGATCATTCTAAAATAAGCCAAAATAAGACACCAGGTGACAGCAAAGTCACTTCATCTTTAGGTTTTAGCTCTAAGAACTTATCGGAATGATATTTTAATGTAGTTACAAAAAAATTAAAAAATAAAACATAAAAATAAGCATAATTTACATAGAAAATACGATACTTTTTGAAGTAAATAAATTCAAAAATACCCCCAAAATAAAAAAAAACAGCGCATTTGAGCTTATTAAACTTAAACTTTCTTATTTCTTTTTTAAATGAGTGATCGTTTCGCTTGATAAGACACTTATTCATCGTCTGGAATCGTTTAAAGCCCTTTGAACAGTTTGCAGTTGCACTGAAACTGTCTTTTGGACCTTGAACCGTTTGGTTACCATTGAAGTCCATTATATGGAGAAAAATTCTGGAATGTTTTCATCAAAAACCTTAATTTCTTTTCGACTGAAGAAAGAAAGACATGGACATCTTGGATGACATGGGGGTGAGCAAATTATCAGCTTAGTGCACGATGCAACAACAGTCAAGTTTTAAATAGGAAAAATATCGGAACTCTTTGGTCCTTTTTTTTTTAAGAAAAAAAATAAGCATAATTTACATAGAAAATGTACCAAATCCAAATGTACATCCAAATGCTAATGGATGTATGCTAAGCTATGCTAAAAGTGGTACCGCCAGAACCGGAGATCGGCTGAATGGATTCAATAACGGTAAAACTCAACAGTTTAACTCTGGGGGAGTTGTAAAAAGAGCCTATTTCCAAAAAAAAAAGTGGAGTATCCCTTTAAGAGAGCATCTAATAACGGAACAGGAACTAGAACCCCACGAGGATCAATCATAATCCTGTTATCACATCACATGATCGGCTCGCTGGAATGTAAACGTGGGCCAAACGCAAACAGTATTTTTAAGGAATACACGTGGTCATTTATCTCACGCTCTGACAAAGACATAAAACGAGCTTGTGTGACAAAAGCGAGGTGAACCTGAGTGGGCGTTAGGTCAGGCATGCGGAGGGGGAGAATCCCTGAACGCAAACGCAATTAAAGCAGTGACCGTGCAGAAAAACCCACAGAGAAACCAGCTTAAGACATGAGGACAGAAGGAACCGAAACATCATCACTCCTCCAAAAACAGACCAAAAGTGCTTCGAAAGGACAAGAATGAAAACCACAAGAATTCAACTGTTGAGATTACTAAAAAAAAAAAATACTAATAAAAATACATATCTGTCACTGCACAAAGTACATAATCTGCTTATCATCAGTCATAAAAAACAACATTGGCCGATCTTTAAAATAGTAAACAGACACTCAAAACTATTAAATAATATAATAAACATTTTTCCTCATGAAAAATAATAAGAAATCAAATCGATTAACCTCTGTTAAGCGCATCTAACATAAAAGTTTGTAATATTTACACACTTCCATGTTAGATGCCATTAATCGATATGACAGGACTAAAATAAATTTATCTAATTAAATTCTTAAGCCAAACCAAGACCAAGCAAAGATTGCAAGACCTAATAATTCATAGGATGTAATAATCAACAGAGTGGCACATTAAAAAAATAATTTAATGTTAGATTAGATAAAAATAATCCTAAATAATTATATGATCTTGTGTAACTATTTTAGATTACAAAAGCAAATCTGCATAAACAATGGCATGCTAATAATTATTATTATGATAATTAATTAAAACATTTACACTACACGTCTATTGTTGTTATAATATAATAACCGTTTAGTTGTCAAAAAAAGCTTAGCTTAAAATTTTAGCTTAATAATTGGTTAATAAATTATAAAAATTATAAAATTATAAAAATTATAAAATTATAAAAAATTATAATAATACTTAATGTCTAATTTTGTCTTTTTTATAGCAGTATGATAAAATAATAATAATTATTCCAAACTAAGACCAGAAAAAAATGGCACCGAATGTAATAATAAAAACATTGTTACAATTAAGTAATATTTTTTTGTTAAACCATAACCAAAATATATTAATACAATTATTTGATTACTATTCACTTTTATTTTTCAAGTTATTACGTTAACTTATATTTCTAACTTGTCAGACTTAGAGGGTTGGTGGTTAAGGCAACCACTCATAACAACCCCCCAGAAGACCCTAGCAACCACAGAACAACCATCCAGAAGACCCTAGCAACTCGCTCTAGTGGGAAACTGACGTCATTCTTGATTGGTCTTATTGTAAACATGTTTTGTACATTTTTATGCTGAACACAAAATCTTAATGAATTACAATCAGCCAAATGAACGAGTGTGAACAAAAGCCGTCTGAACAAAACAAATAAAACGCATGTAAGCGTTTGAACCGGTTTGATCACTGACCTGCTTGACTAGCCAATGAAACTAAACACAGCGGACAGCTGACCTCTCAGCAAACTTTCAACTGTTTTAACGCGACTGTCATTTAAAAGGTTTAAAAAGAGACACATGTGGCTAAACAATCACCTGTGTGAAGTAAAAAAAACAGACGTTTGTAAAGAGTTTGAACGTGTTTTAGCTGCTGTGTGTTTATTAGCTCTGTTAGCAAACACCTGTTGCGCTGAACAAACTCACCATTTATGACGCCGTCACGCGCGTTGCGATCGCATCACATCAAACATCACTCAGGTTACTATGACAGCCACACAAAAACACACAACACATCACTTGGCAACCTAAAAAAAAGCAGCGCCAATCACGACTGATGTATGTAGATTGACTGTCCCGTCCCTGCACTGCGCCGCGCGGCATTATGGGACAGGAGGCGCATTCCACAGGCTAAGTCCCACATTTAAAGGGACAGGCGCGAGTTTCACTGAATGGAGTGGAAAGTGTCTGTGGGTCGATAATAATGAATAATTCTACAATATATGTTTAGATATAAATATGAAAATGCTTTGATAAAATATATTTTATATATATATATATATATATATATATATATATATATATATATATATATATATATATATATATATATATATATATATATATTCTATCCATTTAACCACTCATCCATCATTTTCTGACTCACCAAAAATAAGTATGGAAGTATTGAAAAATACATAAACATAAAAATAGTTTATTTGTATGTAAATAATAAATCTAATATATATATATATATATATATATCAGATTTAGATCAAATTTATTTATAATAAAATAAATTGTATATTTTATATTTTATAATATATTTTATATATTTTGTACTTTTGTACATAATTCTAATGTCTTTTTCTAATGTCTTCATCAGCTTTGTTTATACAATAATTTATATATATATATATATATATATATATATATATATATATGATAGTGCTGTCAAATTAATCGCGATTACCAGTACGTTTTTCTAAAATAAAACTTTGTTTATATAATATGTGTATGCGCACACACACATACACATACTGTATATATGTATAATTATAGCAATATATATACACACATATATTATATAAACGCATACTTTTATTTTAGAATCGATTCATTTCGATTAACCACATCCAACGATTTAAAGAAAGCATAACTATATTTATATAGTGCTGTAATAGAAATGTGCAGTACATATCTTTTTAATTTACATAATTTCACAGATTTCCAAAAAAAAAAAAAAATCCTTGTATGGAATTTAGTTTCTAAAATAAATATACCAAATGTTACTAGCCCTGATCTCCTGTCCTTACAAGATGAAGTCATCCATAATTTCATTTTATTAATCCATCTATCCGATTCCATAATTTGCAAATCCAACAAAAGAAATTTGTAGATGATGGCGTTTGATGCCGGATCAGTGGTCTAGTAATATTTCAGCGTCACACTAGTGATTACTTTATGTCTGCTGTAATAAAGCTGTACTGGTCCTGACTGGTTCAAATGAATTGAACACTGGACAGAGAGGGTCCTTCCTCTCAATCCTCAAGTCGGAGGAAATACATCAGCATGACTTGTTTAATAAGCAGTGCCATGCAAAGAGTCATAAGTAATATTTACCAGTCGCCACCAAATGACGTAAATTTACAGCTGGTACTGAGCGATTGTGCTTTTTGTCACTCTGAATATAAACACATGAGTCACTCTGAGTCTTAGGACATGCACACTGGAGATGACAGTGGAGAATACATTTTATACAGTACAATGTGTGTGTGTGTGTGTATTTCATTTAATAATTTCATTTGAATGCATTTTTGCATATAAACAACATAAACATTATGACATAATATATTTTACTGTATATTATCATTTTTATTCAAGTAGTTTTAAGAAAATAAAAATAAAGACATTGCTTTATGTACCCAAAACTATAAAAATATCTATTTTTAAAACGTTCTTATTTGATAGAATAAATTATCAGGGGATTTCCCGTGACTTCAAAGTAACGGACCGTAACAAACAAATGAGTTACAGCAACACTTTTGTTTCTCCTTTTCTGTAAGGGTTGAACCGAAATTGACAAAGCATCAAATATAAAAAGAATGTTTCCCAAAATAGGGAAACAGACAGTCAACAAATGAACTCATAGTTTCTAAATGAACATCTGGGAATTACTGAAACAACTTTACTTGTGACTTACTTGAGTGGACTTCAGTCATTAAACACTAACACCAACACACTAACGTACAACTTAGTGATTCTTAAAGGGACAGATTACCTACAAAATCAAAATAAGTCACTATTTATCACACTCATCTCATTTAAAACCCATGCAACTTACTTTATTGGGTAGCGGACAAAAGGAGAATTTCTGAAGAATATCCAGGCTGCTATTTTCCGTACAATGACAGTGAATGGGGACAAAACACCAGCAAAGTAGTCTGATTTTCCTAAATCTTGATCTGTTTTATCATATGACATCAAATGACTTGTGATATAGTAATTTAGACTATGTTTATTACACATTTATGCTTGTTTTGGAGATGAATGGCTCCGGTCCCTATCGACTTTCATTGTAAGAAATAGTGTGGTTTGAATATTCAGATCCAAAGAAAGAAAGAAAGAACAAAAGAGGTTTGGATCTACATGAGAGTTAACAAATAATTGGGGGTGAAGTCACAAGAACATCCTCTTTTAAACTCCCTCAGTCACTAGAAACCTGATATCAAAGTAGTCCATCTGCACGCAAACCTGTAGTTTTCCGCAGCTCAAAGCTGGTTGCAAAACAGCCAAAGCACAAGCACCACTGCATCATGTGACTGAACAAGTCATTAGGTCAAGCGTCTGCTGCTTTATCAGTCCTTGTGATCTAACGAAAACCCATGAAAGGTGCAAAAGCCTCATCAAAATAAGAGAGCCTGCGGGGTTTACTGTGACATGCGCTGTGGTGTGCGAGAGCAGTGTGTGTCGCATGAGCGGCCGAGCAGATGCGCGTGTGTGTTTGTGTTACTCACTCAAACACTGCAGGCCATGCTTCCTCTGCAGGGTCTTGCTGCACAGTGAACATGTCGCCCAGCTGGAAAATGAGCCAGGCACGAGCTGGTGGCCACTCACACTGCGGCGCCGCACTTTCTCACGCTCTCTCAGCTCTTTCTCTCTCTCCTTCTCTCTCTCTCTGCTTTTCTCTTTGTTCTGCTCTTTCTCTCGAATCTTACCCTGAAAACAGAGGAATCGAGAAACGTGTAGTGTTATCCTCTGATGGTAACACAATTTCTTTTTTTGTCCATAATGTGTCCAGGTCATATTTCACAACACATAAATATAATCCTTAAATATCTGAAACTACACAGTTAATTTGTACAGTTAAATTTAAGTTGTGTTATAATATTTTATTATTTTGACGTCTTTATAATTACAGAGAGAGACGGACGGACGGACGGACAGAGATAGATAGATAGATAGATAGATAGATAGATAGATAGATAGATAGATAGATAGATAGATAGATAGATAGATAGATAGATAGATAGATAGATAGATAGATAGATAGATAGATAGATAGATAGAATATACTAGA